TTTACTCTTTAAATTAAATAAAAACATGTTCCCAGTTTGAGCTAGAAAAAGATCAGTCATCAGATTTTGTTTCAAGAATCTGAAGAAAGTTGAAGGAAGTCATATTATCTGACAAAAAGGCTAGCTGATGTAGTGTTCTTTTTCTTCTCCATGTTTTCTTCCTAATAACATAGTTTTGATATTTTAACCTCTGACATAATTTTATGGGAATAGCATATGGTAATATATTGTTTTCTTTACCTTGTATTTCATTTTCTCTTTACTAAATAGATCTCAGATGCAAAATAAAATGGTAAATTCATGTCTACTAGACATAGTACCACATCATACACTTTTCCTTATCTTGCGGGGGAGGGGCAGGTGGGGTACAAAGAGAAACTTTCTCATTTGGAATGAATTCTGATTTAAATGAAAGTTGTAACCATTTCTACAAATTATATGTACTCATAATCATATTCTCCAATCAGGGTGTGTCTGCTTTTTTTAAAAATGTAAAGTTAAGTTTATCTCTTCTATATTCTAGCCTTGCTAATTTTAAAAAAGGTACTAATAAATTAAATTTGGAGAGTGCTTCAATGCTAATTAAAAATTTCTTGTTTAAATATTCATTCCAATCTGCTTCCTTTTTTTCCCCTGTCTTGTCTGTGTCCAGAACCAAACTGTCTTACTAACTGCCCCTTGGGGACCCTAACCCTGCCTGCCTCAGTACTGTAAGTCTTTCCTACCTTTGTTTCCAAAAGTCTTTACTTTCTTTTAAAAAAAGAAGAAAAAACAAGAACTTTTACTTGATGGAAAAAGATAAAGGGCATAAGCAACACCATTGCTGATATTAGCAAAATGCAGCATTGGATTTCAAATGGCTAGCAAGCATTTGAGTCCTAGATTGTCATAAAAAAAGTTCTTATGGATCATTATTTATATGACTGCTCTAAAATCATACAATCTGTGTTTCATCTTAAACCAGATTCATTCCATGAAAAATAATTTTCAGAAATATGCTAGTTTTAGGATTCTTCCCATAATAACCATATTGAACATTCAAAGGAATATGTTTTATCTTTGCAATTTTGTATTTCCCGACCATTTTTGCATCCCCTAGGTGATTTGCAGTTTCAAATCACTGCAAATCGTCAGCTATAGACACAATGCTATACTTTACTGTTTATATGGTAATAATGTAAATTCATTTATAGGATCAAAGTCAGTAAAAGTCAGTTCTAGAAGTCAAAAGCCTGGAAGTAAAATGACCAGAATCACAGGTTCTGTATATTTAATATTTAAGGACCAAAAAGACATTCATGTTTCCATTTTATTCATGGGATGAGTTCCATTACAGCATCTTAATTTCATCAGTGCAAAAGCTCTCATTAGATAGAGACTTAACATATTTATCTTAAATAGAAAGGAATCAAGACATAAGAAAAATTATCTCATTATCTTATTTCATTCTAAGAGTATGTACAAACATATGGGATCCAAGAGCTACAATTTCTGGGAACTTTCCCAGAGTTTCAATTCACAGAAAAAAACAATCCCAAATGTTTCTAGTAAAGCCAGTTATATATATTGAAAGAAGCATAATCTGCTTGAAAACGTAGATGGGGAAGACAGAATAAATAGCTTACACATGTTTTTTCACAGTCAGTCATATTTTCTTATATCTAAGTCACATGGTTCAATTGAAACTATGTCTAATTAAGAGCGTGAAGGAGAGAAGAACTTTATAATATTTAAAATGTATGATACATATAAAGTAGGCAGAAGCCACAAAAGAGCTCTCAAATTACAGACCAGTATGCCTGTCATTTCCCCCTCAAGTCCCGGTGTGCTGTCTCATAGCAGAGTGGGGAAGGTGTTCCTGGGAGGTATCAAAGAGCATACATTATCAGTAGGGTCCTCCTACCTGGGAGGTATCAAAGAGTGTACATTCCCAGTAGGGTCCTCCAAAGGGTGAAGGTCCTCCCAGCTGCCCAGTTAAAGCAGAAAACATCAATACCACGGTGTCAAACTTAAGGCGCCACATTGCCATCACGTGATGTTTTGTGACATTTCCCCCTTCACGGAGCTGGGGTGGGCACGGTGTCAAACTTAAGGCGCCACATTGCCATCACGTGATGTTTTGTGACATTTCCCCCTTCACGGAGCTGGGGTGGGCATGGCTTGTGCATGATGCATCTGACCCTGAGTCCTATACTGAACAACATAGCAATCTACAAAGCTGCTGGCAGCCGATGACTTAAGCGAAAGAATTAATTCATACTGCACGGGAAAAAGCAATGGTAAATCACTTCTGTACTTTTATCAATAAACCCAAATGGATAGAAAATATTAAATGAGCGCCAGATCATGAGCCTCTCAGATCAAATTGTAGTCCAGCTTGTAATATTACAGTTATCCAATTTTATAATCCAATCACTGATGCAGGAGAAGAAGAGGCTGTTGAA